GCTGCCCCAAATTTAAAAAAAAAAAAAAACATGAGCGAATCTTGTATGCACTCTGCGTCATTTACCTCAATTATCAATTACCAGCATAGCTTCATTAACAGCTTGCTGTGACTTTTTAACAAACATCTGTCCTCTTCATAGAAAATGAGCAGAGAACTGTAAGTGATACAACTCTGGAAGGAGACAGCAAGTTAGAAGGGTATCTGTCACCGGGAAAAGAGAAGTAACATATTTTCCATGAAAGCGCACCTATGCACTTATGTTAATATAAAGCCATGTAAAGACAGCCAACATAACTCTTCAATGATACACAGAAGTTGAATCCAACACAATTGTATTTCACATAATTGCAGCAAGAGGATGTTTTTGCAGTCTTTTGAAATGTAAGAAAGCATGGACTTTCCAAAGCCCTGTCTTTGTGAAGTACTAACACTGACATGGAAGTAACAGGAAGGGTTTAGCTACAACTGAGCTAACTAGCCTTAAACAGGAGGGAGGACAGAGGGAGAAACCAAAAGCACAAAGTAAACAAGTAGTAGATGTAGCGACCAAAAACTGCCACTAGATGCCAGCATTTATCAAAGCAATAGTATCCTGATGCCATTCAATACAATACAGAAAAAATACATATAGTGGGACAGAAAAATATGACTAGTGCCTAGGCATCCAGACATGTGGCCAACACTGAAGGAATCCCAGGGTAGCAATCTGTCTCTCTACACTCCTTCATCCCAACAGGACTATTAATTTAGACTTTCTCTGGGTGCATTATTCAAGCTAGATGCCAGGCACATATAAACATACAGCTGTGTATTCAGTAATACTGTACATCATCACCAGAAGAGTAAGAAATTGAATTTGACTCGGTATCAGCCTCTTGCTATCCCTGTACAGCAGAGCTTAGACTGGGAGAGAGAGAAGCAGCACAATTTTGCCAATCAGGTGTGTTGCCGTGCTTGTGCGCTATCAAGGAACATGCTGATAGGAGGAGAGAGAGCATGGTGACAGAAATAAGCACAGTGTCAATCCACGGGCTGGGGGAAGGACAAGACCTGCAAATGTAACTTAGACTGGTCATACACTCATAAATATTTACTTTTCAGTCTATGGGCTGACCTCTGCGTCTGACTGGATGTAGCTGCTGTCCAACCAAAAAATTTCCAAATGTTTTAGTTGAAGGATGTCGGGCAGGCAGAGGACGACATGGTCACCCACATAACACATTTCACTTGGTTTATCAGAAACCGGCAACATTTGCATAGTGTTTATGGCCAACTTTAACTGCACCAGGGAATTATCAGGTCTCCTGCCGTGCTAGACAGGACTGTACAGTGTGGCAGAGCCATGTAAATATCAGGACTGAATGGAAAGTCAAAGGGGCGGGGGTTCTCTTGAAATCATTACCTTAATGTGGCTGTATGGCCATATTAGGTCAAGGTCTATGGCCTGATATAGCCATGTTACTATTAACATCCCCGTGCCACACTTGCTCATACAGGAAGGGGCGGGATGTTCATGACACCAATGTCCTTGACCTAATATGGTCACATGGGCATATTACTGTAGTGCCCCTCTAGATAGCCAGGGGGAGCTAGAGTTCAATGTTTAGTTAGGAGGGGTGAGTAGCAGCCTGGGTGTGATAGCTAGCAGGGTTAAATTTAGGTCAGAGCTGAGAAGCTCTGCAGGTCAGTTTCCTGATATCTCCCCCTGCTCTAGAATCTTGGAGAAGATTCTAGAAGCAGTGGGCAGGGTGATGAGGGGCTGGCCTTAACCCTTAGGGGACCCTGGCCAATCCCCAGGCAGGAGGCTTGGCATGGGACCAGGGCAGCCCTTAAAGGCGAGAGAGCCTGCTCAGCAGCAGGAGAGTTCAGGTGGAAGATGAGAAAGTGAGGCTGGAGAGCAGGAGCCTGGGAGGGGGCCCAGATGGGAAGAGGCTCGCCTACAGGCAAAGAAGCTGGAAAGGAGGAAAGCTCAGGACCTTATTGGCACCCAGAGCAAGGACCATCTGTGTAGCAGGGAAGGAGCGGCCCAGCAGAAGGCCTGAGAGCAGCCACCGACCTATCAGCTCACAGACAGAGGGTTGAGTGAGTAGATCTGCAACCCCTGTGCCAGTAAGGGGAAGAAGCATTCTAGTGGGAAACTGGATTTGCTTGCTACCCGTGACTGTCTTGTATTTAAAGTGACAGTCACTGGATCCTCTGCCCGGGGATTCCTTCAGACAGCTGGATAGAGGAGTATCTGTGATCTGGGGGGGGGGGGGGGGGGGGGGTACACCAGGAGATGCTGGCTAGCTCTTTAAGAAGAGAATTTTTGTTGTTTAGCATGCATTCACATATATGCGATGCGGTATATCACATGTGATTCACACAGGAACCGCAGTGCATTCCCGTGCAAATCACATGTGATTTGTGTGCGGTGCGATTGGAGCCATACATTGGAGCCAGGATCTCACTCCTGCAATCAAACCATCACCTGAGGCTGATTGCAGGAGGTGTATTTAAGCAGTACCAGGCCTGCAATCAGTGCCTTGGTGTTTTCCCATGTGCCCTGTTGTCTGGATCCTGTTTCCTGTTTCCTGTTTCCTGTATCCTGTCTTCTGCCTGCTTGACCCTCCTGCTTGACTCTGACTCTGCTTGAACTCCGCCTGCACCGACCCCGGCTATTCCTGACCATTCTCCTGCCTGCTCCTGTTGCACCTTATCTGCCCGATTGTTCCTGACCCGGCCTGCCTGACCACTCCACCTCTCCAGCCCTGACTACACTTATACGTAGTAATATTAGTTTAAAGTTTTGGTTTTGTTTGCACTGCGTTTGTTTATTTTGTGCAGCTCTTAATAAATTTTATTATTATTTCACTATTTCTGAAGCCTGCTATTTCCCTGTGTCAGTCCACACATCTCTGGTCATACCTGGATCCCTGACAGTTACATTCCAGATCCCCTTGTCCAGGGATTTCTATACCAGGAGAGGCTGGATAGCTCTCCAAAGAAGAGAAACCCTTCAGATCACTTGTACATAGTTCCAGTAAATTGTCCTCAATTTAACAGTTCCTTGGACATCCAATGTATCCCCTCATCCCTATCCAAGTTTCAATCCCCTAATAAAATCCCCCCCCCCAAAAAAAACAAGTTCACGGACCATTTACTGTCTCTGGAGTGCAAGCCTGGTAGGAAATGCATGTTGCCTGGCTGTGCAGAACTATAGAGGGACCCAAAACTCAGCAACTCCTAGGGGGTAGTGCTACATTAGGTTAACGTCCGTAGGTAATTGACAGCTTCCTTCCTTCAGCCCGTACCCAAGCTCATCCCTGCTCGACAATGGATGCCCGCGTGCTCCACCAAAACATGTTTCTTCTAAGAAGTCTTTTTTTGGGGGGGCCATTTGCAGTTTTCTCACAAAGCTAAAGTAAAGAAGAATAAAAATGATCCTTCAGGAGAAGAAGATATACACAACACTGAGTCCTTTTGTATTTACGGAGGGCTATTAAATGTCTACCCATTTTGTATACCTTTTTACTCCTGTGGTTTGAAGGTTCTTGCCTTGAGCAAAATTATAATATTACATAATTATGCCTACACCCGTGAGGCATTGCCTAGTAATATCCTTCACTAGTGCCAACGTAGCTTAAATTATTAGCTCAGCATTATTGCAGGAGGCAAACCTTATACTGTCAGAAGAGAGAATTCGATTTAGGCATTAACTATCTCCTGCCTGACAAGATAAAAGGAATCTCTCCAATATGACATACAGTGGATCTAAAAGGTCTACACACCACTGTTAAAATGTCAGGTTTCTGTGATGTAACAAAATGAGACAAAGGTAAATAATTTCAGAACTTTTTCCACCTTTAATGTGACCTATAAACTGTATAACCCAATTGAAAAAAAAACTGAAATCTTCTGGGGGGGGGGGGGGAGGGAGTAAGCATAAAAAAACTAAAATAATGTGGTTGCATAAGTTTGCACACCCTCTTATAACTGGGGATGTAGCTGTGTTCAGAAATAAGCAATCACATTCAAAATCATGTAAGGAGTTAGGAGTCAGTACACACCTGCCATCATTTACAGTGCCTCTGATTAATCCCAAATAAAGTTCAGCTGTTCTAGTAGGTCTTTCCTGACATTTTCTTAGTCGCATCCTACAGCAAAAAACCATGGTGTACAGCAGGGGTGGACTGACCATTTGGAAACTCGGGCACTGCCCGAGGGACGGGGTCAGTAGGGAGCCCCATGAGATGCCCCCGGTACCTTTTTCATAGGCTTTTTTGAGTTTGGGCAAGGACACAGGGGCCCCATGATCCCCTATTGCCCGAGGGCCCCATGAGTTGTCAGTCCGCCCCTGGTCCACAGAGAGCTTCCAAAGCATCAGAGGGATCTCATTGTTAAAAGGTATCAGTCATGAGAAGGGTACAAAAGAATTTCAAGGCATTGGAATGGCCCAGCCAGAGCCTAGACCTAAATCCGATGAAAAATCTTTGGAGTGATCTGAAGAGGGCTGTGCACAGGAAATGCCCTCTCAATCTGACAGATTTGGAGTGTTTCTGCAAGGAAGAGTGGGCAAATAAGTAAAGATGTTCCATGCTGATAAGACCCATCCCCAAGAAGACTGAGCGCTGGAATCAAATCAAAAAGTGCTTCAACAAAGTATTAGTGTAAGGGTGTGAACACTTATGCAACCATATTATTTTAGTTTTTTATTTTTACTTCCCTACTTACCTAAAATATTTGTTGTTTGTTTTTCAACTGAGTTGTACAGTTTATAGGTCACATTATAGGTGGAAAAAGTTCTGAAATGATTTATCTTTGTTTCATTTTTTTACACCACAAAAACCTGACATTTTACAGGGGTGTGTAGACATTTTATATCCACTGTATGGGAGGGGAACATTGCCTATTTATCTTTTAAAAGTCCAAGCCAATCACCTCAACTGTAGCTTGTGGATGAAAGCTGAACTCCGGGCAAACAGCTAGATACACAAGAAGATGATTCACCTACCAAAGGATTAGTATTTTTGTCCCTCCAGTACCGAGATTCCCACAGCCCTGCAACACAGTACAACCAACTGCATGATACCGCTTAAAACGGAAATGACACTAAGTGCCCGGCAGGGGTGGACTGACAACTCATGGGGCCCCCGGGCAATAGGAGATCATGGGGCCCCTGTGTCCTTGCCCAAACTCAAAAAAGACTATGAAAAAGGTACCAGGGGCATCTCATGGGGCCCCCTACTGACCCCGGGCCCTCAGGCAGTGCCCGAGTTTCCAAATGGTCAGTCCGCCCCTGGTGCCTGGTTATACGAGTGCAATTTGTGAGGAGAAATTGCACCTGAAATGGCATCTAATGAATGTGAATGTCAGCGTCTTAACCCGTGCGATTTGCTGCAGTGTGACTTCTAAAATAGTTCTTGCATGTCTTTTTCTGCAGTTTATTGTGATTTCACCTGCATAGATTATAATGAAAAAAGAAATTATTGAAAATCTTCACAAGTCGCATTAAAGTCTTCAGAAATCGCACGTGAAATCGCACACAAGTCGCACGATTTTAAATCGCAGTGGTGGGACCGGTGACTTCACAATTTCCTTATTCTCCAAAAAGAATCCAAACACATCCACTACTTAATGGCCCTGGATTCTAATTCTCATCTATGGGTAGAGAGAGGATCAGGGGCGGACTGACCATTTGGAAACTCGGGCACTGCCCGAGGGCCCGGGGTCAGTAGGGGGCCCCATGAGATGCCCCTGGTACCTTTCATAGGCTTTTTTGAGTTTGGGCAAGGACACAGGGACCCCATGATCCCCTATTGCCCGGGGGCCCCATTAATGGTCAGTCCGCCCCTGGGATGTTGCTACATTATGTAAAACCATTAGAATAGTTATTTACATTTTAGAATGGGGTGCCTTGAGATTGTCCATAAATTTAAAGGGTGCCTTGACTGAAAAAAAGGTTGAAAAACACTGTTGTAGAAGATAGCGGTCTGAAAAAGTCAAGCGTTCAACTGATTATTTAGGCAGACCAATCCCTGGGGAGAATTGTCCGGATGGTAGCTGGGAGGGTGTATAAATACTCTGAGACCTGGAACGGAAGTATCTTGTGCCTGAGAATATAAAAGAAAAAGAAAGGCGCAGAAAAAAAAAAAAAAAACGAATTGCTTAAGAAAGCTAAAGTCCTTAACTTAGAAGTCCATATTCATAAAACGTCCACATATAGGAAAACAGCACTAGTGGCAACCAGGGGTGTGTTTACCACAAGGCAAACAAGGCATTTGCCTAGGGCAACATTTTCCAGGGGGGCAGCACCGCCCCCTGGAAGAAGGGACATTTGCGGCATGGGGACCAGGTGGGATCCTGGAGAGGCTGTGGGCTGCTTTCATGGTGTATGCAGAGCCCGACTCTCGTTCCCAGAGATGGTCGGGGGGAATGTGTGTTAGTGGAAGACTCTCTCGGGTGGTGGTGGGGGGGGGGGGGGGGGTAAGGGTGTTGTTGGTCAATGTCAGACTCTCTTGGCAGGGGAGGGGGGGGGTGCATCTGATTTTTGTGTTGCCTAGGGCAGCACATAACCTAAATACACCACTGGTGGCAACTGCTGATAGAGTGAAGCAATTTTCTGGAGGAGATCAAAAGGGAACAACGGGGGCACCGAGCTAGGTGTGGCAGGTAAGAAAAAAACAGGATTTATTTATTAAAAAGCCAAATAGCTACTCACATATATAGCAAACAGGTAGGCATGTCATAACTAGTGTAGCACTACCCCATACCTCCCAACTGTCCCTGATTTCAAGGGACTGTCCCTGATTTGGAACAAAGTCCCTCTGACCCTCTTTCCTCCTCATTTGTCCCTCATACTGTGCTGATCTATATAGTTCTATATGAAATGCATTTTTTATCTTTCAAAAAGTGTTTTCCAGTGCTAAACCTTTCATCCAATTTCTAAATTGCTATATTTGTAAATTCCAAATGCCAGTATAAAAGACGTTTAGTGTCCTCATATTGCTACTAAGAATTACTGGAGTATCCCGCAGCTATCCTAATCCTATCCAAGTTCAAGTTCTTCATTCATTTTTTTTTTTTTAATAAATATTTTATTAATTTTCTTTTCAATAGTGTTTATTTGTTTTTTCATAAGAAAGAAGTTACAAACAGTAGAGAAAAAAAAAATGTATATATATATATATATATACATCCATCCCTCCCCACACCCCATACAAACTGCAGCCCTTTGGGGCCGGAACAAGCAATGCGCAAAATACAATGTTGCAAAATAATTATCTGTTGATGGTGACCAAAGGCGTCCTTTAGGGACCTGTAGATGGGAGATCTGAAAAACTAAATCTAATGTAAAACTGTTTGCCAGGTTTGGTGTCTCAGACCACCCTGACCAGTATAAATTGAGCAATCACCCTCAAATGTTCAACAGGCCATAAGGGGATGTGTCCACCATGGCCCTTGGTTTGTTAGTGTTCAAAACCAGAGAAGGGAAAGAGAAGGTGAAATGGAATAGAGAGAGAGGAGTGAGAATAGAGATAGGGGAAGTAAAGGAAAGAAAAAAGGAAGAAGCAAAGGACGCTGGCTGACCTGGATAATGATCAACGAACATTTGACCACTATTCTTCAAGACAGGATGGCATATTCTGAAAAAACCTGGAGGAGGATTGTTGACATGGGATGTCGATAAACATTACCCGTCTTCCTCCCCGCACCCGACTGCTGACCGTATCCTTCACTGATATGTGGCATTGATGTGCACTGGTAGGCCCTGAAATGCAGCACTCATACAGTTGCAAGAAAAAATATGTGAACCCCTTGGGATTATGTGGAGTTTTGCATGAATTGGGCATAAAATGTGCTCTGAACGTCATCTAAGTCACAACAATAGAAGAACACAGTCTGTTGAACATAATACTACACAAACATTAGATGCTGCCATGGTTTGATTGTACATAACATGTAAACATTCACAGTGCAGGGAGGAAAAAGTATGTGAGGCCCTAGCTCAGTGATGGCGAACCTTTTTGAGCCCGAGTGCCCAAACTGCAACCCAAAACCAACTTATTTCTTTCAAAGTGCCAACACTGCAATGAAACCTGAATATCGAGCTTTTGGTTTAGAAAAAACAACTCGTACAGTAGTGCAAACTAATTAACAGTACAGGGATGACCAGAGACTGCAGACACAGTACAGGGATGACCAGAGACTGGACACAGTACAGGGATGACCAGAGACTGCGGACACAGTACAGGGATGACCAGAGACTGCGGACACAGTACAGGAGATGACCAGAGACTGCGGACACAGTACAGGGATGACCAGAGACTGCAGACACAGTACAGGGATGACCAGAGACTGCAGACACAGTACAGGGATGACCAGAGACTGCGGACACAGTACAGGGATGACCAGAGACTGCGGACACAGTACAGGGATGACCAGAGACTGCGGACACAGTACAGGGATGACCAGAGACTGCGGACACAGTACAGGAGATGACCAGAGACTGCGGACACAGTACAGGGATGACCAGAGACTGCGGACACAGTACAGGGATGACCAGAGACTGCGGACAGCACAGGGATGACCAGAGACTGCGGACAGCACAGGGATGACCAGAGACTGCGGACAGCACAGAGATGACCAGAGACTGCGGACAGCACAGGGATGACCAGAGACTGCGGACAGCACAGGGATGCCCAGAGACTGCGGACAGTACAGAGATGACTGCTGACCTTTGGGGAGGGAAGGGGAGCGGGTACCTGAATTTGACAGGTACCCGCTCTTACTTCCGCAGAGTTTTTTTTTTATCTTACCTGTTCCTTTTACCAGAGACTGCGGACAGTACAGGGATTGACCAGAGACTGCACCAGCCGCACGCTGTCTTCCCGGCTTCTGTAGTGTGGGCGCTCGTCGGACAGCCGGGACAGATGCCCAGTGCGCATGCGCGAGAAGCGCTGTGCTTTGTGATTGGTCCGGCGGCTTCTGGGATCTGTCATGTGTCCCAGGTACCGCCTTACCATTCACAAAGAGCAGTGCTTCTTGGAGATGCATGCGCACTTGGGACCCGGCTGTCACGCACACTACAGCCGGGAAGACAGCGCGCCGCTGGATTCTCCTGGCGTGCCCACAGATAAGGCTCGGCGTGCCGGCTGTGGCACACGTGCCACGGGTTCGCCATCACTGCCCTAGCTTAATGACTTCTCCCAGAGCTAATTGGAGCCGGAGTGAGCCAACCTTGACTCCAATCAGTGTGATGATATTGGATGTGTTGCTGACAGCTGTCCTGCCCTTAAAAAACACACACCTGTTTTTGGGTTTACTGGTTTCAAGTAGCACTGTCTGATGTGAACCATGCCTCACAAAAAAGAGCTCTGTAGTTCAGAAGACCTACGATCAAGAATTGTTGACTTGCATGAAGCTGGAAAGGGTTACAAAAGTATCTCAAAAGCCTTGATGTTCATGTGTCCACGGTTAAGACAAAGACTGTCTACAAATGGAGAAAGTTTAGCACACTGTTGCTACTCTCCCTAGGCGTGGTCGTCCTGTAAAAATGAAGGCTGCAAGAGCACAGCGCAGAATGCTGCATGAGGTAAAGAAGAATCCCAGAGTGTCAGCTAAAGACCTACAGAAAATCTCTGGCACATGCTAACATTTTTGTTTGCTGACACATCTACAATAAGGAAAACATTAAACAAGAATGGAGTACATGGGAGGACACCACGGAGGAAGCCATTGCTGTCCAAAAAGAATATTCAGCACGTTTGAAGTTTGCAAAAGAGCACCTGGATGTTCTCAAAGCACTACTGGCAAAAAGACATACTGTGGACAGATGAAACCAAGATTGAGTTGTTTGGGAAGAACACACAACACTATGTGTGGAGAAAAGGCACAGCACACCAACATCAAAACCTCATCCCCACTGTAAAACATGGCAGAGGGGAGCATCATGGTTTGGGGCTGCTTTTTTGCTGCCTCAGGGCCTGGACGGATTGTTGTCATTGATGGGAAAATTAATTCCAGAGTTTATCAAGACATTTTGCAGGAAAACATATGACCATCTGTCTGCCAACTGAAGCTCTGCAGAGGATGGGTGATGCAACAGGACAATGGACTCTGGAATTCATTTTCCCATGAATGACAACAATCCGTCCAGGCCCTGAGGCAGCAAAGCAGCCCCAAACCAAATGCCATGTTTCACAGTGGGGATGAGGTTTTGATGTTGGTGTGCTGTGCCTTTTTTTCTCCACACATAGTGTTGTGTGTTCTTCCCAAACAACTCAATCTTGGTTTCATCT